CGGAAATGGCAGATGTTCCTGAGAGGTGCATCTGGATACTAGGAAAGTGCCCTTATAAAGGTGTGGCTCGACACTAGAAAGTGTCTGGGAACGGCTGGTTTTCCTATCAAGGTGCATCTGAATAATGGGAAGGGCCCGGGAATCACTTTTGTTCCTTTGAAGGTATATACATCTTGACAATAAGAGGCCTAGGAATGGAGGTCTGCATATCTTATTTGTCTCTTGAACTATTACTGAAAGGTGTGTAGTTCCTTACCCAGGACTTCAGCTGCTTCAAGATGTCTCTCTGGGCACATCGGCGCAGTGAACTGGAATACTGCTGGTGCTGTCATGACAACGGACAGACCATGGGGCTATCAACAAACCAAAATCAGAGAATAATCATTTTCAAACGTCATGCTAAACTTACTGAACACAAAATCAACACTGAAACGGTGTCTTCTCAAGCTGCCAGTGCCAGTTGCCTTATAACATGGTTTGAACGGAGGCCTCACCCCAGGGTGAAACATCAAACTTTCACCCATTGTGGGTTCTCAATCAAAGGCATCCAACAGGAACAACAACAAAAGAACTTACCACGATGGGATGGTCTGTGGTGTAATCCTTTGCCTGAAAGTTCTTTACCATTCCAGCGATTGGGTAAGACATGCCATGACTGAAAGAAAACGCATTCAGTGATGACCAGCATCGTCCACAGCGCCAAAAAAAACACATATTTCTGAGATGAGTCTCTCTTAGACACATTTTTAAGAGCAATTTTGTACTCTTGTGCAGCGTGTAGAACTATTTGGCATCCCTCTTAGGTTAAATGCATCAAATAGTGCACTTTTTAAACATTCAAAATTGTGCAGCTTTCCTTGACAACTGAGGGCGCTGTTGCTGTGATGACATAGTTCGATGCACGGGTTTTTCTGTTGTAACTGCGATCCCAGAATTTACTCGTTGAAAACATTTCTGCGAAAGAAATGCTCACTGAAGTATTGCTATGAACTTACAAACAAGTCATCCAAAAAAAATTGTTTAGCATAATATCAAAAAATATCCAGGAATTTTATGCAAAAGCCAATGTGACACTGAAGGCTCCTTTCTGGGATAACATTACAGTTTTGCTCACAAATATGGAAATAACCAACTTAAACCCAACAAGGCAGCAAAACAGAAACTGAAAAAAAATAAGATTTATCAAGTGCCAAGGTGGCATTTAAACCAAGAACCACTTGTGTACAAGTTCCAAGGAACTGGTACATGTACACATGTATTCTCCAAGCCTCACTATCTAGGCCAATGGCCTCAAGCTGGACCAAGAGAGGGCGCTATTTCCTCAGCAACAGACGTTCCTTTGGTATTAACTACACATCACTGGTTCACGAATGACTAGGAAACACAAGCGTTGCAGTCACTTCGCTACCAACAACATGAATACTCTCAACGAACGCAGCTCTTTTCAACCAATGAGGGAGTGCTTGAGCTCTAAGGTAGCAGCAGGTCAATGAACAATGACTGCCTACATTGTTAAGATACAAATAGCTTTTGCTGCATTCTTACATGTATTTTGACTTACCACAAGTGCACACCTGCATTGCCAAACCCTACACCAGCAAACACACTGGCAAGATGCATGGCTGACCGTGCCTCAAAATCCTCGGGATCCTTGACAGACCTAAGGAACAACGGTGGTTACATATTGATGTCGTTTCTCAACCTCTATATCCCGTCCCTTATTTTTTGGGGGGGCTAGATCTGCCCCTAATATCTACTGGAGCGCTACATGTACGACATGGTATCTATCTTGGAACTCTCCTGACACAGCAAAATTACCTTGGGTGCAGTAGTCGAAAACTCAAGATTAAAATTTCTGTGTGGCCTCTGATAAAGAGATCAAAGCCTGCTAAATAAGAGAAAAATGCTTCAAACTTGAAAAAAAGGGCAGTTGGAGATCACTTAGAGAAGAGCAGCTGTGTATTTCCAATCATTAAGAAATTGGGTAAGGTCGGTTGTATATGTATATTCACAAAGATACAATATAACTGCATCGTCTGCAAATCTCATTCCAATCAAACTCCCCGTCCCTTTGGCTTTTACCTTGTGAAGTACTTCTTGATGACTCGCATGGACTGCAAGGACCAGATGTCACTGATTGGGTTGCTGCCTTGATAGGCTGGCCGCTCAATGGGGTTGCTTGGCCGCGGTGTTCGCTTGTCATAGTCAATTGCAGTGTAGGACTCCAGTGCATGACTTAGACATTTCCAAAAGCAATCCAGATTGATTCAAAACTACTTAACCACTTCCTACCGGGGATTCCGGATCTGGACACGTATGCTTTATATGCGTGGCCGGGGTCTCCGAACTTGGACAAAGGGAACAGGGCCTTGTAACAAAAGACCAAACTCGGAACAAAAGACCAGGCTGCTGGGCATTACCGACATTTTTTCACTCTCAAAAGTGGTGATAATCCAGCCTTGTTTTGAAACAGTATACCACGGTTTGGGGCATTTAGAGCGAGTGGATTATCACCTGGCACAAAAGCGCTCCACCACCACAGCGATGAGCCACACAGCACCGCTGCATGCTAATCTGGCCCCTATTGAAAAGAGGTCAGCAGCACACTGAGCCAGGTTCGTGAACAAAAGAAACTTGTATAACACCGCACAATCTGGGCTCTTTTTACAAGGCTGCAGGCCCGGCTGAAATAATCAGGCGTCAATAGATTTTGTCTGTCAGGCTAGAGTCGATACCAGACTGTCCA